AAAGACTATAAGAAATCTGTCACTTTACTGTGAAAGATGCTTGCTTGTATTTTATTGACTATGCAAAGACATTCGACTGTGTGGATCATAATACAGTATGAATAACATTGTGAAGAATGGGAAACCTGGAACTCATAATTGTGCTCATGAGGAAGCTGTTCATAGACCAAGAGGCAGTTGTTTTAATCAAATGAGGAGATACTGAGTGATTTAATATAAGGAAAGATGTGTGCCAGTGTTGGATATTTTCACCATACTTATTCAATCTGTATGATGAACAAATAATTCAAAAACTGGATTATATGAAAAGGATTGTGGTATCAGGATTAGAAGAAGACTCATCAATAATCTGTGATATGTAGATGACACTACCTTGCTTGCTGGAAGCAAAGAGGACTTATGCACTGTACTGCAAGGTCACCAAGCACTCCTGGGAAACCCTATACAGGGTCGCTATGGGTCAGAACCAACTTGATGGCACTTAACAATAACAACAATAACTATAACATTCAGTATGGATTGCACCTCAGCTTAAAGAAAATGAAAATCTTCACTGGGGGACCTATAAATAACATCATGATTAAGGAGAAAAGATTGAAGTTGTCAGAGATTTCATTTTACCTTGATACACAATACTCATGGAAGCAGCAGTCAAGAAATCAAAGGACATATTGCATTAGGCAATTGTGTTACAACAACAAAGTATTAAAGAGCAAAGATGTTACCTTGAGCACTAAGGTGAGCCTGACTCAAGCTATGGTATTTTCAATTGTGTCATATTAATGTGAAAGCTGGACAATGAATAAGGAAGAATAGAATAGAATTGTTGCATTAGGATTATGGTATTTGCAAAGAATATTGAACATGCCATGGACTTCCAGAACAAACAAACTTGTTTTGGAAGAAATATGAAGCTTCATCTTATTTCTGAATGATGGAGAGACTTCACCCTCATTAACTGAATTTGTTAGGAAGGGCTAGTCCATGGTAAAGGACATCATGCTTGGCTAAGTGGTGGGTCAATGAATAAGAGGAAGCCTCTCAGTGAGATGGACCGACAGCAATGGTCTCAAACATAACACTGATGAGGATGACACTGGACAGACCAGTGCTTATGCTGGACATAGAATTTCTGTGAGTCAGAACTGACTCAATGACACAAAATAATAGCAACCTTGATAATAACTCAGGTGTGCTTGATGAAGTGGACAATGGAAGGAATGCAGTTAGAAAGTCTTGTAAAATTGTATCTTTTACAAAAAAGGAAAAATAAGTTGTAAAATTGTAAAAAAGAATCTTCACTAGTAATTTCTCTGTCAGCTTTGGGGATAGGTCCTGTTTCTTGGTTTCTTGATAATCTTCATGAGGTATGGCATCTGTTTCCCCCCAGTTTTGCTTACTTGACTATTATTTGCTCAAATTGCTGTTTTTCTATCTCAAAATAGATTGATTTAGGACAATCTAATGATAACTAATTAACATAACAAATAAAACTCATTCCCAAATGTGATGATAACCACAGGTATTTGTTGTTGTTAAGTGACATTGATTCAGTTCTGACTTATAGTGACTGGCAGTTTTGAACTGCTTACTTTCAGGTTAGCAGTCCAGTGCTTATTGTATAGTGCCAGACCAGGACTCTAGTGGCAGGTATAGGAGTTAGAATTTGGAAAGGCATAATTCAATGCATAAAAGAAAGAAATCTGAAGTTGGATAGAAAGTCATAACACCAGATGCAGGTGGGTGGTAGTTGGTAGAAGTCTGAGATTTGTTTGTTTGTATATGGTAAATGTGTATATTTTATGTTTCTACTCAGCTCTGTTCATGTTCATGTTTTCTGCCTTTACCTTGTGTTTCTCAAGGATAAATTAGTCCCCCTCGGGGGGAAAAAAAAAAAAAATCATGAAATTTGTGGTATGCTCAGATTATTCCTTAATAAACAAATGCCCTAGTATACAAATTCAGATTTCCATATCAAATGTTGTAATACAGATTATTATGAGGAAACTAAATATCTTAGGACTGCAGTGACTTGTTTCAAAGCCTACAGTCAAGAAATCTCTGAGCTTAGATATTCTGGCAGTCTTCTTTCTGCTGTCTGACCCTGTTTTTGGTAATTTGATTTACCTTTTCTCCACCAAAGGAGCTCTGGTAGCGTAGTGGTTACGAATAGGCCTGCTAATCTCAGCATCAGCAGTTTGAAACTACCAGCTGTTCTGTGGGAGAAAGATGAGGCTTTCTGCTCCCATAAAGATTTACAGCCTCGGAAACCCTGTACAGGGTCACTATGATTCAAAATCGATTCCATGGCACATAACATAAATTTCTCCACCAGGCAATATATTTAATGCTATGAACATATATGAAGATGAGCAGATGCAGTACTTTGCATGCAGATCTGAAAACTTAATGGGGAAGATAATAGCCAACATCAGTAATTATAGTATAAATGTGATGTGCAACATGTTACAGTAAAAGACCACCAGTGAGTGAGAGTAGCGAAGGGTAATTATTACTTTGATCTAGTGAATGGTCTCGTGGAAGAGAAGGGTATGCTTATCTTGAGTCCTGGAGGAATGAGTGGGATGCTACAAGGGCATTCCAGAGGGAAGATCAGTATAAGAGCAAATCCCAAAGTCAGCAAAATGGATTAACTGTACTTCCAAGAATGCATAGGGCACATTGGGGGCAGTTAAGTTCTCCCAGTAGATTTAAATCTGCTTACTGGAAAGTCCTGCTATGTGGTTTATGCTAACTAAAAAAGAAAAAGAAATATTTTAAAGTCAACACTTTTTGAAAATTCTTTTACAATGTTTGTAGTGCCCATTGAGATCATTGGAAATGCTCCAAAGTGTTACACAGCAAGGTTTGTGGGTCACATTTCCATAAAACAGTTCTAACTGCAGTTCTGAATGAGGTAGACTTAATCAAAGCAAGACATGGAAAGCTGACCTGTGGCGAATGTGCCACTTTGTGACAGACATGTGGATTTAGGCATAGGAAATAGGAATGGGAAACACTACCATAACTGGCTATTTTTATTAAAGAACCATTTTTTTTTTTTTCATGCTCCCTACCTACCAAACAAAATTATAAACAATAACATGAAATAAAACCTTTTTCATCAAGAAGTAGTGTTTTTACCAGAAACGAACTCCAGATTAATCAAAATCGTCATTGTAGTGTTTGGTCAGTTGAAAGAGTGATCCTGTGAAAAAGCAATGTAGGCCATACCTAGAACCTTGTCCCAACCTCCTAAATGAGGCACAAAAGAAATAGAGAGAAAGAAAGACTCTGTTACCATTCAGGGAGGTGATGTCAAATATTTTTGAGGAGGATCAAGGTACTCTACATTCCAAATGGGGTGTAGGATAGCAACTATTGAGGTACACAATTCTAAATGAGTCCTCTTGTGGCACTGTGGGGTAAGCATTGCACTGTTAACTGAAAGTCTGGAGGTTCAATCCAACAAACTGCTGTTTATAAGCACTATACATGGTCACTGGTCACTGGGAGTCAGAACGAAATTGACAGCACATAACAACAGCAATGAAAATGCTGGACCATACTGTGCAAATCTGGATGGATATATGGGGAATAACATAAATGTGAATGTGTGTGTGAATGTGTCATTGAACTGGAGATAATTCAGAATAATCTCTAAATTCTAAAATTACCTAAAAAAGTAATCTTAAATACACCTGTAACCTTATTTTCAACTTGTCATAGAATATATTTACCAGTTCTGGAAGTAATCATAGATTAAATATTCTTCTCCAAATAAAGACCTAAAATGTCTCAATACTCAAACTTTTCAGATCTTAGCTAGAGCAGTCAATCCCCTCTCCCACCTGCTCCATGAAGAGTCTGTGTACAAGTAGGCGGTGATAATTGAATACATGATACTTTAAAAAATTACTTGATATAGAGGAAGGCTGTTTGAATGATTCATACCTTTTGAAAGCCTGGAATTTCAGTCTTATTGCATACATGCAAACACACACTAGAAAGGAAATGTATTGTTAATTTTCTGTTTAAAAAAAAAAAAAAAAAGTTATGTTAACTAGTGAATGACCCTTTGTTAAATAAAGATACAAAACAAGTTAAATTAGAATATGTAGCAGATTCTACTTCATAGTAGAAACTAAGAAATTAAAGTCTAAGAGAAGTAAATTAAAATTTCAAGTCGTTGGTAATACTCAAAATGTTTTTTGGCCCAAGTATTACTTCTCATTTAATTTATCTTCTGAAAAGTATAATTTTATGGGCCAACTCAGTTTTTATAATTCATTTTTAATGAGATGGAAGAAATCTTAAAAAAATATAACCACCCATTTTATGTTTGAATCCTCTAAACATCTTGCTGTTATCCTACCCATGGTTGCCTGTACTCACTTTATTTCAAAACAACTCATCCTATCTTTTAGCTGTTCCTTTACCTATGCATGTTGTGGTAGACACAAATGATTAAGTGTTTGACTACTCACTGAAAAGTTACTGGTTCTAAAGCCCCCAGAGACGTCTCATAATACAGACCTAGCATTCTGTTTCTGAAAGATCACAGTCTTAAAACCCTATAGAACACAGTTCCAATTGAACACACATAGAGTTGCCATGGATCAGCATTGACTCAATGGCAACTAACAAGATCAATAACATATTGAGGTAAAATATTTTCCATTGAAGTTTCATCAAATACTTCCACTGTCTCTCCTCCTCATAGTTTAGGACTATTCAGAAAATGTCTAATCCCTGCCCCATATGGAGATTGCCTTATGTTGGGTTTTCTAGAGGAGCAAAGTCAGTGATGCTCATTTATGTATATATGTTACAAGTGTTGTTAAGTACCATCTAGTCAGTTCTGACTCATAGCTACCATGATATGGTTTCTGAGGAGCAGTTAATAGGCTTGAACTGCCAACCTTACAGTTACAAGTCCAGTGTTTACCCTACAACACCGCATCAGGACTTCGTATGTATATATTGCTGGTGTTGTTGAGTGCTTTCAAGTTGGTTCTGACTCATAGTGACCCTGTATAGGGCTTTCAGGGAATGACTGGTGAGTTTGAACTGCCAACCTCATGGTTAGCAGTCCAGTGCTTATGCAACAGAACTATAGCATGACTCCATATGTGTATATATAGAGAGCTGTACATAAAGAAACTAGCTCACATGGTTATAGAAGCTGGTGAGTCCCAAATCCATTGACAGATGTCAGGTTAAAGTTTTTTTTTTCTGAGTCATGTAGTTATAGGGGCTGATGAACCCAAGATCAGCAGCTTAGATGACAGGCAGATCATTCACAGGTTACAGAGGCTGATGAATCCAAGATTGGGAGGTAAGAAGGCGGGCTGCTGGCTCATAAGCAGAGAAGTCAAAGAAGTCCCCAGGTCATCAAACAATACAGCAAGATACTGGCTCATCTTAGATGGCTGTTCATGAAGTTTTAAGATGCCAGATGTTGCTCACCAAAGTAGGCAAAGTAGAACACAGTTTCTGTGGACTGTTATGCCAATTGATCATGGTGTCCCCTGAAACTATGAACCTGTGCCTCCAGGTTGAGCAACTCATTGTCTTAAGATGTTTGATGATATCTAAGAAGTTTTCATAGCTTTTCTTGCTGTATGATCTACCACATTCATAGTTGTTTTTGCAGGAAGGATACAAATATCTACTTTCAAACTCTTCCATATTTGTGGGTATACTCCTACTCTTCCTCCCTTACCCATTCAGCCTGTGTCTCTGTCCATGTACCTATCCACAGAACATTGTTGTCCCAAGGTTGTGTATATATCACTATTTACCTTTGTCCCTTTTAGCCCTTGGATACCTCCCTGTGGCACTGTATATATTTAAGGAAGCAGATAGTCTCATCTTTTACCAGAGGAATGGCTGGTAGGTTTGAACTGCTGACCTTGCAGTTAGCTGCCAATTGCTTATCCTATAGTACCACCAGGGCTCCTTAATTTGTTTTCTATATTGCTTACACATCCCAATGATATTTTGGATAAATCATGTTAAATCAACTACATTGGAATTTAGCTTGCCCATTTCTAACAGAAAATTTGTAGTCTATGGGTGGTACAAATAGTTAACTTACTCAATTGCTAACTGAAAAGCTAAAGTCCAATTCTATCCAGAAGAGCCTCTGAAGGTCTGATAATATAATTTTGAAAATATAAAAATCCAAGCCATTGAAAACCATGTAAATAATTTTCTATCCTAACATTCAAGATGTCATCATGAGTCTAAGTTGATCTGAAAGCAACTGGAGTAAACAGAAACTGCAGTGCACATGTGGCTGACATCTGTGGCTTGCGTTCTATCTCAATTGGGCTGTGCTAGTCTAGGTCCTCTATCAGCAGCATGGATATCACCTGAGAGCTTATTAAAACATGTGATCTGAAACTTGCCCCAGACCTACTGAATCAGAATCTAAATTTTAACAAGATTCCCAAGTGATCTGTATATACAGGGACATTTTAAAGCATTCTTCTAGTCCATTTTTTAACAAATGCACTGCTGTCAAGTCGATTCTGACTCTATATAGAACTACCCTACGGGTTCTGAGGCTGTAAATCTTTATGGAAGCAGAGTGCCTCATATTTCTCCTGCACTTTCTAACAAATGTTCCCATCTGTTTTCTCCATCTGTTGTTGTTGTTAAGTGTCCTCAAAGCAGTTCTGACTTATAGCGACCCTATATAGGCTTTCCATCTGCAGAGGACGTTTTATTTCTGCTGGCCTTTTACCTAGAGAGACTGACAAAATTAAGCATCCTCTGACTTCCTAGAAGGCAACTTGAGAATTCTGAGTATCATGTTCCTCTATGTTGAGTTATTTTATATGCAAAAAGTCAGTTGTTAAAAAGCTCCAAACTCAAACAAGTTTGAAACACAAAAAGCTTAAATTTGTCTTCAGTTGTGAGAAAGTAGAGTGCACCTTGTCCACTTACATATTGTTCTTCAGCAGGCAGACACCCCAACATGTGGTTCTAGCTGATTCTCAGGTGCCCAAATGCCTCCTACAACTCATTCTTCCCCAATTCATAGCACTTCCTGTCTCTGCACCCAAACCTAGGATTGTTTATCCTCTCCTTCCATTCTCTTTATCATCTCTGCTGATCTTCCCCTGGGGCACTGCTTTCTGCTTTCTCTTGTGACAGCTAATTTTGTGTAAAAGTAATCTCAGGGTAAGGTGTTTGTGGTAGATAATAGCTTAATATTTTACCTCTCCTGTAGTTTTATTGCATCTTAATAGAAGATTCCTAGAAACAAAATAGCTTATCTTAACCAGAAGCAATGAGGCTGAAGGGTGGAATTGTGTACATCATGCAAGGCCAATGGGAAAGATTATTTTGGACAGAAAGATTCTTTGACATCATTCTGTTATCTTCCCCCTAGACCAAATGTATCAGCATTGCCAGCAACATATTTATTCAATATGCAGGATAGGCATCTACAAACTGTCAATATGAGATAAAATGGAGACAGATTAGAGGGAAAAAAGGGAAATCAAAGTTGTGGGTTCATGCCAGGTTAATACTGTGTGACCATAAAGAATTTAAACAATCAGAAAACTATGTCTGGATATGTTATCCTTTTCTTACTATTAAATTATTTATAATATTCTCCTTTTAAAACTATTTAAAATTAAAAGAAAAAACAAGTTCAGATAAAGTTTGCAAAAACATAAATTATTATGCAGTAAATATACCTAGAAAGCCTGCTGTAGCTCTATAGAATAAGCAAACTGGAAAGTCAGTGGTTCAAACCCACCTGCCATTCCTTGGAAACCCTAGAAATATCACTATGAGTTAGAACTGACTAGAAAGTATTTAACAACAGTAACAAATATATCTAAGCAATCTTTACCTTGATTAACAAAGTATATTTTTTAAAAAAATATACTTGAATTTGCATTTAAAAAAATAAACATACAGACATAAACTATGTATTCCTTTATATCTGGAGCATTTTACTCAACATTATATTTCTAAGAATTAACATGTTGTTTATTGCAGTTTTAATTTTTAAATTTTTTTAGTTGCAGTAATCCACTGAGCATATTTTGGTTACTATTGGGGAACTCTGGAGTGTTTCTGTCGCACATGCCACCATATTTATACTTGTGTTTACACCAAACGTAAATTGTTATTGTCACATATTCTCTGTTTTCAGCCAAGATACATCTGATATCAGCTATGAAATCCCTCTTTCTATTTCTTCAATTACTCATATGTGAAATCAGGCTGAATTTGAAGAAAATTAAGGCAAGTCTATGAGAGCCCAAATATGACCTTGAATATGTCTGACCTTGATTTAGACATCATTTTAAGAACAGATTTGATGCATTAGACACTAATGACAGAAAATCAGAAGAGTTGTGGGATGGCATCAAGAACATTACACAGGAAGAAATCAAAAGGTCACTAAGAAGACAGGAAAGAAAAAAAGACCAAAATGGGTATCAGAAGAGACTCTGAACCTTGCTTTCCAGCATAGAGATGCTAAAGCAAATGAAAGAAATGAGGAAATAAAAGAGTTGAGCAGAGAATTTCAAAGGCAGCTCCAGAAAACAAAGTCAAATATTATGATGAAGTGTGCAAAGATCTGGAATTAGAAAACCAAAAAGGGAAAAGCATTTCTCAAGCTGAATGAATTGAGGAAAAAATGTAAGCCTCAACTTTCAATACTGAAGAATCCTTTGGGCAAAATATTGAATCATGCAGAAAGCATAGAAAAGAAGATGGAGAAACACACAGAGTCACTGTGCCAAAAAGAAATGGTAGATATCCAACCATATCAGGAGGTAGCATATGATCAAGAGCCAATGGTACTGTAGGAAGAAGTCCAAGGTGTACTGAAGCATTGGCAAAGAACAAGTTTACTCCAGGAATTTATGGAATACAAATTGAAATCTTTCAACAAGCTGATATAGAACTAGATGAACTCACTCATCTGTATCAAGAAATTTGGAAAAGAGCTACTTGGACAACTGATTAGAAGGCATCTGAATTTGTGCCCATTCTTAAAGAGGCATTACCCAACAGAATACAGAAATCATTGGACAATGTCGTTAATATCACATACAAGAAAAATTTTGCTGAAAATAATTTTAAAATGGCTGTAACAATACACTGACAAGGAACTGCCAGAGATTCAAGTCAGATTCAGATGAGGACTTGACAAGGTTTAGACATAATATTGACTGAGAAGAACTAGAACCAATCGTTCAATATACCACACCAGTTATGTATATTGTCAGCTTTAGTAGATAGTCCTGTTTTCTAAACTAATTGTCAGCTTTAGTAGATAGTCCTATTTTCTAAACTAATTGTACCATTTTACAGTCTTCCTGTACTGTTTAAAATTTTTCATAACATCATAAACTCACTACTATTTGATATTGTTATGTAAATTAGTTATTTTGTCTAGTGAACACTTGTACCATATAGTTTTAATTTTATTTTCACATAAATTGATGCTGCTTTTTTAATTAAAAATTTTGTTTTGAGATAATTTAAAATGCTATCTAACCCAGTTATCATCAATGGTGCCCCCCCAATCACCAGAGTTCAAAAAAAATTGACTTAGTTGCCCAATTTATCAACTTGGGAATGCATTCAAATGCTGTACTATAATTTCTGTGAATTTCCATGGATAATATTCTCATGGAACTTTTTCCTTCACATCCTATTTTCATTGTGGAGGAGGGTATTTTCTGAAACCCTGATTCAGCTCAAAGCTAAATTCAGTTTTGAAAACCTTTTACACCCATAATGCATTTATTTTTATTGGAGTTCATTGAATGTTTACGCTAAATAAAAAATAAAAACACAAAAACGTTGGCTACTGCGTAGACTCCAACTCATGGTGACCATGTGTGTCAAGTAGAGCAAGGGGCAGGATTATGTAAGGCTGTAGGCAGCAGGCCGTTTCTTTTCTGGCTGTCACAGTCTTCCATCTTCCAAACACTGTTTTCCACTCATTTTTTGGGGATGATTACTAGCTC